CCCCCGCCCCCGCCTCCACCTCCACCGTCAGGCTCAGGTGAGCCCAGGTCTTGTCCTTCGTTCTGCTGGCCCCCAGGGGGCGGCTGGGGCAGTCGCAGGGCAGGATGGAGGTGACTGCTCAGCTGGCATCTTCCAGCATGCCCGTCTAAACTCGTCTTGTGCATCTCTCATCTGTGAGGGTGAGGCTCTCTTGTCCCAGGGCTTTGCGCTGGGCCGGGACCCTGTATTTGTTTTCTTTCTTGGACGTGGATTGGAGAAGGGCGAGACTGGCGGTTCCAACCTTTCCATTCCGTCTGTCCTGCACGCCCACTGGAAAGTGAGCCTCTTTGCCTCAGTAGTTCCTGCAAAATACCAGTCTCTGACTGGCTTCATGTGTGTCCCCTGCTTTCCCCTGAACCATCACTGGGTTCAGGGAGACTCAGGGCTGTCATTTGCCATGCCTGAGTCATATGCTCTCCTCGGAGCTGGGGCATGGGGTTAGCCCTCCGAGCAAACAGGTGCTGAGAAGGAGGGGAGGGTGGTTCTCCAAAGGAAAATCAGGTGCTGTTACCAGAGGTCCCAGATGCCGGATAGCCTGAAACAGCAGACGTCCCTTGTGACCTGGCTCTCACCAACCTGAACAACTTGCTTCATTCCCTGACATTGGCTTGGGGTCAGATGGCCCTGGATTTCGGCCCTCAGCAGGTTTCATCTGAGCCCTGTAGTCTTGGACAAGCCACTTACCCTCTGTGAACTTCAGTCCCTTCCCTGTGAAAGGGTGAGGGTGACACGCAGCATCACCTGTGAGTCACCAAGCACAGGGCTGCAGCAAAGGGACTCTCATGACGTGAGCAAGCTCTGTTGTTGCTATCGTTAGAGCCCAGGCCTTCAGCCAGACCTAGGGGAACTCTGCGAGTCCTTGTGGGGAAGTAAGAGTGCTCGACGCTGCACTAGAAAATGTCAGGTCGTGTTATGTCATCCTTAGAACTGTTCTGTTAGATGGTCCATTTCCCAGAGAATAAAACCGAGGTTCTAAAGAGATCCATTCCAGTCAGCAAGTGGTGGCATCTCTCTGACCCCATGCCGCGCTAACTGTCCACTCTAGTCTGGAGCCTCTGCCGTTAAACTCCTGGTGACAGACACTGGGTTTATGCGCAGTAATCCCCTTGCACAGAAGTGTACACGTGTTCGTTCTGTAGGCTGTTTGTCAGGCATGTGTGTAACAAATAGCACATGTATTCTGAAGTCACTTGTACTGGAGCCATGCAGTGTCACCTGATGGGCCCAGCTATTAGACCCCCACCTGCCGGTCCTGGCCCATTTCTCTCTGCATTGCCTTCGGCTCCCGTTCATGCTTCCTTCCTCCCTCTTGTGCTCCCCTTCTTGCCCTCAGACCTGGGTGAAACCACAGCCTCTGGAGCAGGCCCCACTGCCCACCTGAGACCCTTCACTTCTGGCTGTAGGCAGGGCTGAGCAGGGGATGCCTGTGGCCACATCGATTCAGCCCTCCCTGTGACCGGCAGTGGGCTGTGGTGCCCATTGGGGCTGCTGGGCAGCTCTTGTTCTTCAGCCAGCGGTGGCTCAGGTCTGGCACTCATTTCTCATTTAGTGATAAAACTGCTGATGATACTGTCTTTTAGAGAAATGTCCACAGTGTGGGAAGTTCTGATGTCTAGGTGGGGCTGTTTCCTTCCCAGGACCATTCCGGGCAGAGGCCCCAGGGCAACTGCCATGGCCACCTGGAGGGTCACACCCTGGAACCTTGTCCCCTGGACCCCCATGTGTCCCCTCTATTTCACCCCCCAGGCCCGCCCCTCTCCTCACTGGACGGACACCACAAGAAAGGAAATGCCCCTCTCTGCCCACCGTCCCCACTGACAGCTTAGTCTAGACTCTGATGTCCTTTAGCCACAAGATACTCTGTGGCCTGAGATCTTTATGGGCAAGTTAAGCCACCCCATGTGTCATGGATTTGAAGCTTCGTAACTTGTGGGAATGATCGGCTCATCTGCACCAGGGCTGTCTTTGATTTTTGGGTGGAAGCTGGAGGATGCAGCACCCATGTGCTGCCTCTGGAATATCCAGGACCTTTGACTTTTTGGAACATTGATCCCAGACCATCAACCTGCTTTATTCTTCCCACTTTGGGTCCAGCCCTGGTAGACAAAACATCTGTCTGCTCAGAGCCCCCCACTGTCTCTGAGGCACACATCTGCTCTGAACTCCATTTAAATGTCTTCAGGCCCCACAGTTGGATCTGAATCCCGCACGTGGTCTGAGGTCCACAGTGTCTCTGAGCCCACGGCAACGCTCAGTTCTTCTGTGGCTCTCAGTTTTATACCCTCTGACCCTCACATTTACTTTTATAGAAAAAAGTTCAAATAGCTTTGGAAACACAAAGTTGAAGAGGTTTCTTTCCTGCACTACTTCTCAGCACCTTCGATGTGGTATGTGCTGTGGTCTCAGACCTCTTAGGTTTCAGACTGCTTCTTTAGCAGATCAGTAATTACTATCTCACAGAAGACGTGTGTTCCTATGATGGTGGAGAAACCCTGCCTTGGTGACCCGCTGTGGGCCCTATCCTGTTAACATGTTTTCCGGGGATCTAGATAAAGCCCTGTGTGACTGCAGGTGCCTCAAGGCCAGCAGGGCTCGTTCTTCTGAACCTGGACTGACACCTGTGGTGTGCTGGCCGGTGTGGAGGCACTGGGGCCAGGATGTGCTCTGTTCTTACAGGTCACACAGCGTTGGGAGCACATGCGGGTGTGTTCCTAGGAGATGTGATCAGGGCTTCAGGAACCCTGAACTCTGCTGGGGGAACAGAAAAGGGTCACAGAGGAGGGGACATAGGGACATTTGGAGCACATCAAGGTTGGAGCCATGAGCCGGTGTGGGCAGCGAGAAGTTAGGGGGGCTGGAGTGAGATGCCATGACCAGAGAGAGTGCACTGTGAAGCTGACAAACCTAGTTTTGTGTTCCTGTTGAGGATTATTTCCCTTAATGAGGCTCCCAAATTGCAAAAGGCCACAAGCCTAGACCTGCCTACGTGAGTGCAATGGCAGAAGGCCTGTAGCAGAAAGCCCAAGGCAGAGGCCAGGGCCAGAGTTTGGACTTTTTCTTGTCATAGTACCCATGGGCCAGCAGGCAGTCAAGCATGGGAGTGACATGTCATAGTATTTTTGTTTGATGACATATTTTCAGTGCATATTGTGTTCCTGGTTTTGTGCTAGGTACCAGGAGTCAAGGAGAACAGTTAGGGAGTGAGGTGAAGGGTTCCGAGTCAGCCCATGAAAGGCGTGGATCCAGAGGTGGCTGGGGGATGAGGAGGGCCTGGGTTAATGCTAGCAGTTGATAACCTGTCAGCCATGGGGGTGAAAAGATGGAGGAGCTGATGGTGGCTCCCAGGCCTCTGGTGTGGGAAGGACTGGGCAGAAGGGGAGCATTTGGGGGGACCCCAGTAGAGATGTGGAGCTCAGGAGAGACTGGCTGGGCCTCCCATGTGGCATTCTTGGGCACATTGGCCATAGTGAAGGTTGGGAGTGGACGACTGGCCCAGGAGAAAGTGTGAACTAAGAGAGGAACCTGGGACACCCATCTCTGAAGAAAGGGGTAGAGGAAAGGGTGCCTCAAAGGGAAACAGGTGGCCAGGCCAGCAAGAGGGTCCTGCTGACAGCCTTGGCCACTGCAGGCGTGGGGGGATGAGGCCAGACCTCACTGGCTGAGGAGTCATGAGGAAGTGAGATAGTACAAGGTCAGATGTTGGTGGAGGAGACGGTGGGGGCTGTGGAGCCTTGCCGAGCCACCTGGAGGAAGGCTGCTGAGGTATTCCGGGGGCATGGTGCCTGGTGAGGTGCTATGTGTTAGAGGGTAGGTGGCCCAGAAGCCCCTTAATAAGAGGCTGCAGGTGTGTGGTGTGCCATGCCATGGTCAGAGCCTGGCTGGGGAGGTGGTCCCTCAGCTGAGAGCGGCGATGGACAGTGATGGGTGTGCAGAGGTGGTGCGGAAACATGGAACTTGACCGTGGACACTGCTAGGGTTCCTGCCCCGGGGATAATGTGGGCAGTTCCCTGTTCCCCAAGAGGAAAGGGAGGAGGAACAGACCCCTGGGCCATGGGCGACCCCTGCTCTGGCCACTTCCTGCTGTGCTCTGGGGCCGTGGGCTCTTCTAGGCCTCCTGCCATCTCCAGTAAGCTGTGGGCAGCCTTAGGAGTGTGACTGGCCCTCTCCCCCCAACTCCAGCCCAGTGGAACATGACCCCTCAGTCCCTTTCTCACAGTACCTCCTGGCACCAGCCTGAGTCTCTGGCAGGTGCCCACTTCCCTGCAGCTCTCCTAGGAAGGTCTCCCTGGGTGCCTCTGGAGCCAGCCTGCCCTCATCCCAGACCTCCAGCTCAGCCCCTGCCAGGAAGGAGGGCTCGAGTGCCGCCCAGACAGGCCCTCTGGAGCCCAGATGCTGCTCCGGGCTCAGGCCAAGCCTCTCTACTGCACTCCTAGCATCCACCTTGTTCTCTCAGTATGTGTCTCTCACACCTGAGACTCCAGGTGTACCTGACATGGCTCCATTGAAACTTAACCCTAGGGGCGGGGCCAGGCAGGATTCCATCCTGAGATGCAGGTCCCCAGGCCAGGGTTGCTGTGTGAGGGTCCTGGGTGCCTCTCCTGAGCCCAATCCCACAGGCACCATTCCCTCAGCTTCTCCCTCAGCACTGCCCCCTTCTCCCTAGCAATCACCACCACCTAGGCACCCAGCACCCCCTTGAAGCACCTCCTTGGGCATATTCCCTGTCCCCTCCACTGCCACCCCACTTTACCCTGAAGCCCAGGTGGTGCCATGGAGGCCAGGTGTGATGGGAGCAGGGAGGGTTTCTTCTGGTGGTTGGTGCCTGTTCCCTGAGCCCACTCCAGGTGTCCTTGGAGCCCCTCTCTGCCAGGGTGAGGGTGGGGCGTGGTCTGGCCTCTTCAAGCGGCTCTGCTGTGGGTCTGGAAAATTGGGAGAAGGCAGTAGGGACAGAAGCTGAGGAGAGAGAGCCAGTGGAAGGCGATGGAAACAAGGTCAAGTGGGAAGGACAGAGCTAGATCTCCAGAGAGAGACTGACCTTGCACAGGTGGGACATGAAAAGACAAAACCTGCTTTAAGGGGAAGAAGGACGCTGGGGTGCTCTGTGCAGCATGGACTGGGCACCAGTCAGGCTAGCACAGAGGTGGGCAGTGCTGGGGGAGACGCCGAGCCCAGAGGAGGGGTCCTTAGCCCAGCTCGGGCAGGGGCAGGGAGAGGGAGGTGGGATGGCAGCTGGGGGGAGGCTGGTCAGACAGCAGGGAGCCCAAGGGGACACTAAGCATCACTAAGTGCCAGGTGTCTGCTGAGCACTTGCCACACAGTATTCCCTGTGGATGGGCACCGCTGTGATCTGTGCTTCACAAACTAGAGAACAGGCCACACAGGCAGACCAGGAACCCACCCAGATCTGCCCGTCTGCCTGCATTCCCCTCCCCCACGGCTCCAGATTTGCTCCCTCCCATGGCACCGGGGCCCACTGCACCTGAGTTCCTCGCTCACTGGGTGTCCAGCCAGGGGGTCTTTGCACCTGGCTGCCCGTACTGTGATCGTGACTGTGGGCCGTGTGCCTGCTGTGTGGGCCTGGGCCGCTAACACTCTCTCTCATTGCTCTCTCCTGCCCATCTGCATGTGGCTGCTCTGTCTAGCTGCGCAGTGGTCCCGAGCGCCGGCTGTGTAAGTGAGCATGCCCATCCCATGCCTCTCACTGTCCATGTGCTGCACCTGGCCTCCTGGGTCTCTGCTCTGCTTGGCTTCGTGGGGCTTTGGTGCCACTGACAGGCCCCTGAGGCTTCCCCTGGCCACAGGAGGGGACAGGGAAGGAAACGGAGGAGGGGGCTATGGGAGTCGGTTTTCTCTGGCAGAGTCCCCCAGGCAGCCTGCCAGGGCCTTGCTGGGGAGGGGCTGAAGGTCTGGGCTCCTGTCAGGTGACATTGGGAAGTGAGGCACCATCTGTGTGTGTGTGTGTATCTGTGTCTGCACACATGTGCCACTGTGTCTGTGTCATGAGCAGGCTGCTGACACTCCTGCCACTGTTCCTGCATGTCTGTAACACATGTGGGCGCTACTGCTGCTGCTGTGTGCTGTCCTGCGCAGGGAGGTGGAGTGTCTGGTGTGCCACTGCCTCACACCTGTCCTGCACGTGCTGCTGCTCTGTGCGGATGTGAACGCTGCCTGGTGGCTATCTGGAATGTCATGGACTTGTTCAGTCTTGTGCTGCCACCAGCCTTTATCATGACTCAGCCATCCCTGAAGCCAGCCCAGGTTTCTCTGGGTTTCCTTATGAGAGCAGGGCTGTGTGCGGGGAATGGTGAGGGGTATTGCCAGTCTCACCCTCCAGGGCATGGGTGGATGGGGCAGTGCCCAGAGCCAGTGTCCGAGGCTGTCAGGGATGGGGCAGTCAGCCTTTTGGCGAGAGAGGCTGTCTTTCCTCTGGTGGGCTGCTCTTGGAGCCCCCATGGAGTGAAGGGGGCCACTGGTTTTACTAGTCATATTCCATTCCGTCCGGGGGTACCGCCCCCCTCAGCAGGGCACTGGCTCTGACTCGGGGGTGGGGGGGTGCAAACAAAACGGCTAGAGTAACCACAGGAATCCCCTCTTTCTTCCTCTGACCCTAAGGCTACCCGCACCAGCCCCCGCCCCCACCCCGGAAGCATCCTCCTGGCCACTGGCCCTACTCCCCTCTGTCCACCCCCACCTCGCCTGGCGCCCCTCACCTGGCCTTGACCCCCTCTCCCTCCGCAGGCTCTTCAGCAGCCTCGGTGAGCTGAGCTCCATCTCAGCACAGCGCAGCCCTGGGGGCCCGGGCGGCGGGGCCTCCTATCCGGTGCGGCCCGGCGGCCGCTACCCCGTGGCGCGGCGCGCCCCGAGCCCAGTGAAGCCCGCGTCGCTGGAGCGGGTGGAGGGGCTGGGGGCGGGCGCGGGGGGCGCGGGGCGGCCCTTCGGCCTCACGCCTCCCACCATCCTCAAGTCGTCCAGCCTCTCCATCCCGCATGAGCCAAAGGAGGTGCGCTTTGTGGTGCGCAGCGTGAGCGCGCGCAGCCGCTCACCCTCGCCGTCGCCGCTGCCCTCGCCAGCGCCTGGCCCCGGCCCCGGCCCCGGGGCCCCCGGCCCGCGCCGGCCCTTCCAGCAAAAGCCGCTGCAGCTCTGGAGCAAGTTCGACGTGGGCGACTGGCTGGAGAGCATCCACTTGGGCGAGCACCGCGACCGCTTCGAGGACCACGAGATCGAGGGCGCGCACCTGCCTGCACTCACCAAGGACGACTTCGTGGAGCTGGGTGTCACGCGCGTGGGCCACCGCATGAACATCGAGCGCGCGCTCAGGCAGCTGGACGGCAGCTGACGCACCACCCTCACCCACGCCCCGGCCGCGCCCTGCCGGCAGGGCCCCCCCACCTTCACCCCCGGGCCGCGGGCTCGGCCTGCCCCTCACAACGGCGCCCGGGCCAGGAATGTTGCATGAATCGTCCTGTTTGCTGTTGCTCGGAGACTTGCCCTGTACATTGCTTAGTGCCCTCCACGGCCGGCGAGCCCCACCCAGCACACGGTCAGGAAGGGCGCGGGCCAGGGAGGCTGGAGTGGGAGGGGATTGGGGGTGGGGTGCTCCGGCCTGACCATCCCCCGCACAGCTCCTGGTGGCTGCTCTCCCAGAGTGGGGGCGCCTAGTCCAGCATGCGAGGTCAGGACACACCTTGGTGACTCGGGGGGTGGGGGGAGACATTGGGGTTCTCGGTTGGGGGCCAAGGAGCCCCCCTGTTTTGCATATTTTAATCCACTCTATATTTGGAACGAGAAAAGGAACAAATATCTCTGTCCTTAATAGCTTCCCTTCCCTTCCCCTCCAGCCCCCCCACTGGTTCCGCTGCGGCTGCCCAGTCTTCCATCTCTGGCCCCTCACTGCCACTGCCACCCCACATGGGGCGGGGGACGCTCCAGCTGGCCTGGGGCTGGCCAGGGTCTCAGTAGCCCGCCCTGGGGCCCCGGCTCGGCCCCCTCCCCTCGCTGAGCTATAGTGTGCCCCACCGACCCTTCAGGTGCTGCGTGGAGGAGGGGCGGCAAGCAGCCAATCCTGCTGGGCACTAGCAAGGTCAGGTGGCCAGGGAGACCATTGCCCTGGGGTGGGGTGGGGGGGCAGGGCCCTAGCACCCGCCCCCAGCCATGTCCCTCACAGGGTCCCTCCCCAGGAGGGGTCTCATCTCCCCACCATGTTGGGCAACTACAGCAGGGAAGCTTCCCTGCCTCAGACCCCAAAGTCTCCTGTTCCCGCTGTGTGTGTGCGTGCACACGTGCGAGCGTGTGAAGCTCTGGGTGTGACTGAGTGCATGGGAGCCCTGTGTGTGCCTGCTTGGAGAGTGGTCCCGAGGGGCCACTCTGGACTAGCGTGAGGGCTTCGGAAGCATGCACAGGGTGCGTGCATGGGTGTGTGCCTGTGAAAGCAGCCCGTCTCCACTTCCAAAGAAAGTCAGAGGCCATCCTGCACCCTGGGACCTGCTGTTTGCCCAGCCTGCCCTTCCAGAGCCTCGTCTAGTCTGAGCGGGCTTCCTTGGTGAAGCTCTGCTGCTTGGGGAGGCCCCCACGGGCCCTTGGAGGCACTGCCCACACCCATCGGGCTTCTGGGGGGATCATAAGGGGACCCCCTAGAGTCAGGCCACCACAAGCCCTGGGGAGAGGCAGAGACCCCAGAGGGCACCCCAGCCCCCCTTACTGTGACTCCTCACACTCAGCAATGACCTGTGGGGTGGGGGGGCCCTGGGACGTTTTTAAACCTAGGGTTTGGAGTCTGGACTAAGCTCCATCCACGTCACTCACAAGTTTCTGTTTATATTTCTAGCTTTTTTTAATAAAAAAAAAAAAAAACAAAAGTTTTCACAGCCCAGGGGCCTGGCACGCCGGTCTGTGCCTGCCCGCCCCACCCCAGCCCACCGGCCCCATTCCCTGGGCAGAGTCACACCCAGTAACCCCTTCACCAACAGACCAGGTCACACACACACACACAGCAGCAGTCACTGTAACAGACTGCCACACACACTCTCAGTTTCACACTCACCTGTGGGTTTTTGGTTCTGTTCAATTTGGGTTTTTAACTTTACAGGGTCAGTTCCGCTTCACCCTTCCTTTTGTATGGAGTTCCATCCGGGGGCTTTCACCCCCTGCTCCAGTCCTGAGGCCTCCTGACCCTGACGTTGTGATACACCCCACAGAGATCTATGTTTCTTATATTATTATTGATAATTATTATAATATTATGTAATAAATTTATAAGAAATGAAACCATTTCTCAGTTGCCTACTTGAGGAGATATTGGGAGCACAAACTCGGCTGTCCCTTGGACAAGTCACACAAACCTCCCCAGCCTTGACGTAAGCATTCAGCTGCATGCACTGGTGACCTGCAGACCCTTGTCTCTGACCCAGTCTCTTTGCTGACCTCCATGCCCATGTGCCTGGCTTCGCCTTGCATCTCTCCCAGAGTCCTGTTGGACCTCAGCCGGTGCTTCCTGAGCTGGAAGCTTTTCTCTGCTCACCAGCTCACTGAGTGACCCCTCCTGAGCTTGAAGTCCAGTTGTCCTCCGTGGCCCTCGTCCCCTTCCCTCTCCAGTGTTGTTTCTAAATTCTACTGCTCCTGTCTTTGAACCCTCTCATGTCGCTCACTGCTGTCCTGCCTCCCACAGCTGCTGCCCATGTTCAGGCTATCCTTCCCCCTGAGCTAACAAACAGTCATGATGTGACGAGTCCTGTGTGGCACCTGTTAGAGGGTGGCCAGCTCGTGGGAAGGGTAGAGGCACCTCAATGAATGGAAGGAGGATGATCAGTGGAGTGAGTGGCTGGACACTTTCCCATGGATTGGGCAAAGGAGACCCAGAGGGAGCCGTGAGAGGGTGGAGACTGCAGGGCCCAGGGCTAAGAGAGGGCCAGGGGCTGCAAAGATGCAATGGCAGACAAGTTGGGCACCAGTCACTTGGTGGGTTTTCAGGAGGGGCAGTGGATGCAAGGCCTGGCCACGCTGGGTCAAGGAGGAGCACAAATGTGACACGATGACAAACGTACACCTTGACTCAGGTTATCGCTGAGTCAGGGTGGGGCAGGAGACCCTCCAGGAAAGCGTGAAGATCCCAGAGGAAGTAAGAATGGTTGACGGAGCGAAGCCTTGCGGGCAGAAGAGAGATGGACTCCAGTGTCTTCATCCAGAGGAGGTGAAGGAGGCAGAGGTGCTTTGAGGGAGCAAGTGAAGGTCCGGATGGCCTGGTAGGGAATGGCAAGGGCCCTTGTGAGGCGGACGGTGACTGCTGGGCAGTGGGACCTTGAGAGGCTCATAGTCTGTCTAGAAAGTCCCACAATTTCAATTTTTCAAATTTTTGTTTTCATTTTCAAGTTAGAAACTGGTCATCATAGAGAAGGGGCCATGAAGGAAGACAAGGAGTGGGCCCTGGAGGGTCTGAGTGTGAGGGTGGAGATGGGACCCTGACTTGCTCTGGGCCTGGGCACTGTGGCATCAAGGGTTGGTCTCCTCTGAGCTGCACATGGAACCCTGGTCTCTGGGACTGGGACCAGAGCTTGGGGGTAAGTACAGATTTTCAACAGAGGACAGGAAGAGCACAGGCAGTGGAGCCAGACTTCCATGGAAATGGCATTGCCCACTCTGGCTCCCAAGGGATCTGGGGGAGAAGATGAATATCCCCACAGGCCAGAAGCCACCTCCATGCCTCAGAAGTTGAGTCAGAACCTTCAAGGTTTGGGCCGGCCCAGTGGCTTAGCGGTTAAGTGCGTGCGCTCCGCCACTGGCGGCCCAGGTTTGGATCCTGGGCGCGCACCAACGCACCGCTTCTCTGGCCATGCTGAGGCCACCTCCCACATACAGCAACTGAAAGGATGTGCAACTATGACATGCAACTGTCTACTTGGGGCTTTGGGGAAGAAAAAAAAAAGGAGGAGGGTTGGCAATAGATGTTAGCTCAGAGCCAGTCTTCCTCAGCAAAAAGAGGAGGATTAGCATGGATGTTAGCTCAGGGCTGATCTCCCTCACAAAAAAAAAAAAAAAAAAAAAAGAACCTTCAAGGTCTGCACCAAAGCAACCTGTAAGAGGGGGTGGAGAAATGGCAGAGGGAAACGCATCTGCAAGTTCAGGGCTGAGTGAGCTGAAGCCCCCTAACGCCTTAAGGCAGAGATTTTCTCACACTCAGCACTAGGAACTCCCTTGCCCCTTCTGCTCTCCTCATGACCTCAGAATGTTCCAGCTTTACCTTCTCGGGGCCCTAAGCAACTTGCCAACACTCGCTCTGGAACCTGGAGCAGAGGCTGTAGCCCCAACTCTCCTTCACCACCAGCCACCCCTAGTTCCTGTGGACAGCTCTGGAGTGGGGCCTGGATGCTGAGGCTGGACAGACGGATGAGGTTTCTGCTCTGCAGAGGGCCATGCTGGAGAACAGCAGTTGGGGTAGGAATGAACAGGAATGGGAGAGGTGAGATAGGGACAGGTAGGAGCTGGAAAGAGTTAGGGATCAGGGTGAGAAAAAATGGGGTGGGATTTGGATTGCTTGAGTGAATGGGAAAGTGGATTCTGAAGTGAGTAGGAGCTGGGAGAAGGGCTGGGGTAAGCTAGAGGGGCATCTGGGCATGGGGAGGGGGTGGGAGCAGAGAACAGGGAGGAGGAGGCTGAGGTGGAGGGGGATGGGGAACCCCTCATCTTGCTCCCTGTGCTGGGAGCTCAACCTTCGCCTGAGTCAAACCCCCATTAACCATTGGGACCCCATCCTCCGGCCCCAGTGTTCTAACTGTTCTGTGCCTTCCCACCTCCCTCCCTCGCGCTTGGGAACAGCGTGGAGAAGGCAAACGAAGTTATTCTCAGTTAAGATGTTTGCTGCTTCCATTAGGTTTAATGGCAAAGTTAAACCCAGGTGGGCTACGTGCCTATTCCTCAACCCACTACTGTGGCCAGGGGGGCAGGTACTATGACTGGCAGCCCTTCTAGAATCAGAAGTGGGTATTACTCTGCAGAGTCAATAATTGTCTTCTGGAATCAAGACATTGGGTCTTCATAAGGGGTTACTGCATAACCCCTAAATGTTTTGAAAAGCTAGGTGCTACTTCTCATTTTGAAGTTTATATCTAACATTTTCATCATGTTTAAATACTTGCAAAGGTTGTGACTTCAAGAAAATTGTACACAGTAACATTTAAAATAAATGGTGACATCATTCTATTAAATGATTCTCATGGCTCTAAGTACCATATCAATTTTATGCCCATCAAAATCCTGTAAAAACACCTGAATAATCTTTTCTTTAACAGTCAAAACTTTAATATCACTTCTTGAATTCTTGTTGCCATTTCTTGAACTATATTTCCAGAGTCTCTTTTGGTTATTTTATCAGACACAACCTGACACTCAGTTAAAATAAGTAAGGCCTCTTAACACTCAGTAGGTGACTTGCAACCTGTTAACTCAGGTTGGTGAAATAGGACCTCCTGATCTTCAGATAGAGGAGGTAAGAGCACCTGACATAAAGGGGAAAAAAAAAAAAGACCTTGGACACGTACACAGGGGAGAAGAGTCCTCCTGAGACTCAGGTAGAAGAAACAAGTCCTATGACACTCAGGTGTGGGAAGTAAGAGGACTTAATAGTCAGATAAAGTGTCTGAGAGCCCTGAAACTAACAGAGGGGAGACGAATCCTCCTTACACTCAGATAGAGGAGAGGGACACCTCCTGACATGCAGGTAGCAGAGATAAAAATCTCATGACACTCAAATAGTTTATATTATTGAGGCCTGATTGCATTTATCTAGGGGAAATAAAACCTCTTCCTTGGCAGGAAGGGAAATATTGCACATCAAAACTCAAGTAAGGGGGGCTGGGCTGGTGGCGTAGTGGTTAAGTTTGCGCACTCCACTTTGGTGGCCTGGGGTGTGACGGTTTGGATCCTGAGCACAGACCTACACACCACTCATCAAGCCATGCTGTGGCAATGACCCACATACAAAATAGAGGAAGACTGGCACATATGTTAGCTCAGGGACAATCTTCCTCAAGCAAAAAGAGGAAGATTGGCAACAGATGTTAGCTCAGGGCCAATCTTCCTCACCAAAATAAATGAATGAATGAATGAATGAATAAAATAAATAAATAAATAAATAAAAGCAACATGTTATTAAAAAAAACCAAACTCAAGGAAGGGAGTTCAATTATCCTGCCACTCACTGTGGGGATAAGGCCTTGTCACTCCCTGGTAAACAAAGATGGGATGTCCTGGCCCAGTAATAGGAGAGATGAGACCTTCTGGGAGAGTAGATATGGGGACACTCATGTAGAGAAAATGATAGCTTCTTGACAATCAGGTATGTGAGATGAGGTCTCTGGACATGCCTCTAGAGGAAATGAGATGTCCTGACAATTAGGTAGAAGAGAAGGAAACGCCTGGCACAGAGGTAGGGAAGGTAAGACCCTGTGATACTCAAATAGGGGAGGTGAGACATGCTTATACTGAAGTAGGGGAGATGAGACCTATTGGCCACTTAGAGAGAAGAAATGGAACCTCCAGACGTATAGCAGAAGAGATGAGAGGCCTGGCAGATAGAGATGAGATCTCCTGACACTCAGGTGGAGGAGATAAAGTGTTGTGATACTCAGGTAGGGCATATAAGACCTCCTTGCACTCAAATAGGAGATATGAGATTTCATGACCCTCAGGTAGGGGAGGTGAGACCTCAAGACACCCAGGAAGGGGAAAGAAAACCTTCAGACAATCAGGAAGTTGAGATGAGAACTTTGGACACATATAGAGTAGAGGAGACATCGTGATGCTCAGGCAGAGAAGATAAAAGCTCATGACACTCAGGTAGTGAGATGAGACTATACTCAAGTAGGGGTGAGAGACTTCTTGGCAGTCAGCAGGGGACATGAGAATTCCTGACACTCCAGTATGGCAGGTGAAAGCTCAGAGAACTCATATAGGTGAGATGCAACCTCTTGACATTAGGTAGAGGATATAAGACCTTTGGGCTCTCAAAGAAGATGCGAGAAAGTGACACTCATGTGGTGGAGATGAGGCTTTTGGCCCTGACATGGAAGAATAGAGACACGAGCACGTTCAGGGAGAGGAGATGATAGCTCCCTGATACTCAGGTAAGACCCGCGAGACCTACTGGATATTCAGTTGAGGGGGATGTGACCTCCTGAAAGTTATATGAGATGAGAGAGTATGACGTTCAGTTAGAGAAGATACTCACAT